GTGCCGCGGAGCGGCTGGGCCCGTGAGCCATGGCCGCTGAGCCTGCACGTCCGGAGCCTGTGCTCCGCAACGGGAAAGGCCACAACAGTGAGAGGCCCACGTACCGCAAAAAAATAAAAAATAAAAAAATAAAAAATAAACAAACTACAGTAAGATACCAAAAAAGAAAGAAGGACAAAGCAGGTTGAAGATACAACATAAACTGGTTAGAACCAACTAGGTCCAAGGTGGTGGAAGATGTGACTCCCAGTGGACCTTGAGCCTCATTATACGCTCATTGTAATACATTAGCATGATCAACGACACACCCACCGGCACCATGACAGCTCTGAGGCTGACCATAAAAGGCCAAAAACTGGGCAGTGCCCAGTTCCTGGAAATCCACACCCCTTCTCCAAAATAGTTGGAATTATTCTCCCACTCATTAGCCTATGAAATTACCCAGCCCATAAAAACTATCCACACCATATTTCAGGGCCACTTTTGCCTTTTAAGACAGACTGCATTCTGTCTATAGAATGTGTATCCCTCTCAATAAATCTACTTACCTTTCACTTTGCCTCTAGCTGAATTCCTTCTGAGATGAGACACAAAGAACCTGAGCTTCATTAAGTCCTGAGACCATGTGTGTGATTTCAATTAAAAGACAGTGGGTTCAAGTCCCAATCAGAATTTTGGCTGGGTTCAAGTCCCATCTGAGTTGTGAGGTTTCATCCCATCTGAGACCAGTTGTGCAGTTTCACCTTCATCTGGACATGTTCAGCACTCCTCTGACTGACGAGTTTTCCCCTGAGTTAAACTGTTTGGACCCAAAGCCAAAGCTCCGTCACCACCAGGAGATACGCCCCCTGCTGCAAGCTGGTCCCCCTTCGCTCAGTACAGTGGAGGGCGACTTGCTCCTTCCCACCTCAGAACCATCTGTAGGGGTCCCTACACCTTCTCAGACATCAGGCACTGGTTCATCTCCATGTGAGAGTCTGCAGCCTTCCAAGTCCTCTCACACCACCCTATGTAAGGATGGCTCTGTTCAGCCACCGAGGCTTCAGGAGAGTGCATTGATAAAGATGGGACTGGAGATGAAGGAAAGGGAAGAGATGAGAGAATCATCATAATAGTAAAAATAATGATGGGGGCTTCCCTGGTGGCGCAGTGGTTGAGAGTCCGCCTGCCGATGCAGGGGACACGTGTTCGTGCCCCGGTCCGGGAAGATCCCACATGCCGCGGAGCGGCTGGGCCCGTGAGCCATGGCCGCTCAGCCTTCGTGTCCGGAGCCTGTGCTCCGGCAATGGGAGAGGCCACAACAGTGAGAGGCCCGCGTACCGCAAAAAAAAAAAAAAAAAAAAAAAAAATGATGATGGCTGCTAACACTTACATAGTACTTACCATGTACCAGCTACTATTTTAAGTCTTTTATGGCTGTTGACATTGTAATCCCAACAACTCTAGGCTGCAGATGTTCTAATCCCCACATCAGAGGTGAGGGATCTGAGGCAGAGAGAGATTAAGGAATGCGCCCAAGTATGAGCCGGTTCAGAGCCAGGACGTGAACCCAGGCAGTCGGGCTCCAAGAGCCACACTCCAACAAGAGAAGACATTGCGTAGGCTGGACGTTTCTGGAGTCTTAGAGGAGCTGCAAGATGTGACAGAAGAAAGGTGCTTCTGAGAAATGCTACTGAGTCAATCCTCAGCAGAGGAGGTGCAAGGAGAGCTTGGAAGTCCTTTTTAACGTCATTTGGTTAACAAATGTCTGGGAACAGGCTTTGAGCCAAGAGCCTGGGCCGTGTGGGGGCCTGGCCGGTACTACCACATCCAGTCTCCATCTCCTCCTGTGTTTCCGCATCCAGCCAGTACACATGCATGAGTCAGTGAAGAAGTTCGGGACTTCCCTGGTGGCGCAGTGGTTAATAATCCGCCTGCCAATGCAGGGAACACAGGTTCGAGCCCTGCCGCGAAGATCCCACATGCCGCGGAGCAACTAAGCCCGTGCGCTACTGAGCCAACTACTGAGCCTGCGCTCTAGAGCCCGCGTGCCGCAACTAGTGATGCCTGCGCTCTGGAGCCCGCGTGCCGCAACGACTGACGCCTGCGCACCTAGAGCCCGTGCTCCGCAACAAGAGAAGCCACCGCCATGCGAAGACGGCGCACCACAACGAAGAGTAGACCCCGCTCGCCCCAACTAGAGAAAGCCTGTGCGCAGCAATGAACACCCAACAGCAGCCAAAACTAAATAAATAAATTTATTAAAAAATAAAATTAAATTATAAGAAAAGGAAGTTCATGATCAGAAGAAACAGAGCTCTCTCTCTTCCCTCCCAGCCCCCGCTCTCTCTCCCTACCACACGCAGACCTTTCTTCTCATCCTACTTCTGTGAGGTGTTGAGGAGGAGGAATAGTGACCCAAGGTGGCAGGAGCGCCAGAGACATGAGAAATGCCCGAGATAAGGAAGGATTGAGCCCTCTGTGGGAGACATCTGAGGAGGGCTAAGGGGGCAGGGACGCCTCAGACTAACCCCTGGGGATGAGGGTGGGAGCATCATGGGGGCCTATATGTTCCAGTTTCACCAGGCTCAACCAAGCACACAGGCTGGGTTTAAGAGGCTGGTTTTCAGCCTGTCAGGAATTACCAAATGAGCCCCACGAGAGTGGGGACTGGGGGCAATTCTCAACGTGCTGCCGAGAGCACCACAGCCTCACCCAGCACGTTCACTCAGCTCTGTGACAGGAGGGTTACGAGCCCAGAAGATTGGGGTCCTGGCGTGTCACAGAGAAGTACAGCTGTTTCCTTTCAGCATTTTCTAGTGGAAATTTCACAGTCGTGAGCCAAGCTTGGGGGTAGTGGGCTGGAACCTG